GCCGGGGTAGGGCACCGCCGCAACGTGGCCGTGGATGGGGCTGGGAGTTGCAGAAGTGATCGGATCCATGGCCGGAATGAGAGTCGGGTCTAGGGTTACAGAAATGTGGAGGAGAATGACCCACCGGCGGTGTGATAACTATAGCGGAGGAAAATAGAGGATAGCTCTAGTACGTCCGACCTACCACCGTTACAAGTTTGTGCTAAAACAACATTTTAAACGTGGATGTAAATGTTTTTTTTTCCTCCACTCGAGTACGTGACAATTATCACCAACTATATGGATTCTATATATTTTTTAAAAAAGGAGAGAAATTAAAAGTTATTTAAATTAACAAATAAACATTTTTCTACTTTTAAATAAGTTTAAAATGATTAATCTTAATATTAGTTTTACATTATCAATATTTTGTTGATATTTTTTATATTTTGAAGATTTTTTCTTTGTAATATGATGAAAATGTTGGTTTACCATAATGTTGATGTCGAATTTATGGATATATGAAAATGTTGATGGACATGTCGAAGGATATTTAATAACAAATAAATAATTGGAGATATATGTTAATTACCGTCGAGTTATATGGATTCTATATATTTTTGTAAAAATTAGAGAAATTAAAAGATATTTAAATTAACAAATAAACATTTTTCTATTTTTAAATAAGTTTAAGATGATTAATATTAATATTAGTTCTACATTATTAATATTTTGGTGATATTTTTTATCTTTTTGAAGATTTTTTTTTCTTTGTAATATGATGGAAATGTCGGTTTACTATTATGTTGATGTTGAACTTATGAATATGTGGAAATGTTGATGGACATGTCGATGTGTTGAAGGATATTTGATATCATGATGTTATGCAGTATAAATGTTTGACAAAAAGAAAATATAATTAACATAATTATTCTATCGTACTTACTAATGTAAATATTTGAAGACTATTTTGTGCACAGTTAAATCTTTAATAAAAATAAAAATATAATTACATCATTTTTTAATAAAATAATAATGAATTGTCCATTATTTTAATGATTATGTTTCTAACCCATTAGAATTTAAGTATTTTTTTTTTTTGGAACAATACTTAGGTGGTACTTGACTAGTAAAAAAGAGAACTTTTACCCCTTTTAAAAAAATGAAACTTTTTTTTAATGGTGATTAATATGAAGATAGATTGAATCGGACAGTACCAAAATATTGTTTGTAGTTGATCAAGCTAGTCGTTTTTCAAATTGAATAGGTGATTTAAACTTTTTTTGGTCACGAACTATTACAATAATTTCTTGTATAGAGCTTCAATAACTTTTTGTTTTAGTGTATTTTCACGGTATGTAATATAAGAAATATATTGATGAATCAACTTCTATCTTTTGTTTACCTTTATTAAAATTTTGACATGTAATAAAGAGAAATATAGAAAAATATTATAGATGTCAAATTTCTAGTAGTAGTTAGCAGTAAAGTAAATATTGAATATTTTCCATGTAATAGGTAAATAGATCCTACTAAAATTTTATAGCAACGGTGAAAAAGTTTGAAATTTTACAAAAATAAACTCAATCTTAAATATAAAATGAAATATATATATATATATATATATATGCTAATAAAAGTCTCTTTTTTTTAGCACAACATATGGGGTAGGGGATCGAACTCACAACCTCTTCGTTGAAAATATATACCAATTACCGCTGAAATATGCTCGCTTTGACATATATGCTAATAAAAGTCTACGTTGTATTTGGACAAAAATTGTGATATATCTGATATATATTTAATCTATGCTTAAGAAAATTATATTTTCTCTCTCTCTTTTCTAATAAGTTTTATATATGGACCTGAACAACACCGAGAAAAATTAATAATAACCTTTTGAAATTTAAGTTAGGATTCTATTGGGTCCTTTTAAATTTCCAAATCTCACAGATCAAAATGTTTTGAAAAAATCTCTAAATGGTTTATGAAGTTAAATATGTTAATTTTTTTTAAATAGAAATGTGAAGTAACAATTGTGTCATTTTTATACTTTAAAATTGTTTTTCATTGATGACATGAAATAATAATTTTTATATTTGTGATTATTAATTTAATTTTAAATTAAAAATACTTTTTAGTAATGAAATTAGTTAAAATGAAATATCTCCCGAGACTAATTTGGATGATTTGTACATATTCATATAGTTACTTGTTTTCATTCTTTAAAAACAAATTATGTAATGTCTCAAATTACATTTCTTATTGAATTTAAGGCCGACTTTTATTATTTCAAGTCTCTTCACCAAAAAAATGGCAGACATGTTAGCTCACTATAAAGAATGAATAAAAATACCAATAATCAAATATTTCAAATTTCAAACAATATTATTGTCAATTATCAAAGTAAAATTGTAAATGTCGCAATCGTAGGATTCGAGATATTGCTTTCAAAATCTAAAGGTATTTGACAACAATGAATTGAGAGAATCAAAAAAAAAAGAATATAACTCTAAAAGTGGGTGAAAAACATGATGTAGAAACTCTAATTTTTTTTTTCATAGTAGCAGAGAATGAAAAACAAAAAAAATATGAAATTATATTATCAATTATAATTAAATAAAAAAATATCTATAGGATATATATATTTTGTTTTTTTACTTTCCAACTTTTTTGGATTCTATGTATTTATTAGGATGGATAATTAATTATTAACAATCAATTTACTATTATGAATTATAAAATGAAAATAACATTTAAATTCTTTTTAAATTCCCATAGATTTCATATATTTATTATTATTGATAATTAATTATTTATTAAACAATTTACTATTATGAATTATGATTAAATAAAAATATTTAAGTTGTAAGAATTTTTTTCATTATTTATTATTAATAAGCTAAATTAATATTATAATAATAATATAATTTTTTTAAAAAAAGATAATAAAGTTTCCAAAATATTTTTGTAGATATGTGTGTGTGTGATGAGAGTCGGTGATGGCGGCAGAAGATTCTCTCGTTTGAAATTTGAAAGTGTTAACAAATTAAGGAGCCGGTGATTGGAATTAGATACGAATGGTCTCTTTGTTAACTGTTGTTTATCATTTATGGTTTCTAATTTTCTTAAAAAATAAATGCACTTTGCAACTAACTAAATAAAAATATTGTTTTCCATATTTAAATTTAGGGATGTTGGAGACATGGATTCATTTTTCTTTATTAAAAATGAAGAAACAGAAATAAGAAACAAGAACATTATCAAAAGAGTCCAAGATTTCCGACGCGCCGCCGTCAAGTTAACCTACATATATTAGATCGAAATTCTTAATTAATTATACATTTCATTCTCTCTTCCTTAATAATGTATGACAACATGAACACTCATATGTGTACTCAAGAGGTTAGGGTTCAATCTTATGTCTCCAAATTGTTGTGCTAAAAAAATGACGTAAATATATAATTAAGCTGGCATAAAATATAATAAATAGATTTTCAGAAAAAAAATGAAAGAATAAATAAATTAACCATCTTATAGCTTCTTTCACACGCTACATCTCACATGGAGATGATGATGATAATAAAAATATGTAAATAAAAACCACAGAGACAAAAATTAAGGTATGATCTAAATTATGTTTTTTTTTTTCAAAAATCAGATGAGTTTAGTGAATATATCGTGGAAATTATATGAAAACAACATTTTCACATTGTCAATGTTTTCAAATTTTGAATTTGAAATTAAGTATGAAGAATTATGTTAAAAGAAAGATAAAAACGTTGATAAATATATTATTTCATGTTATAATTTCAATTCATTTTTATTAAAATTAAAATATAATATTATTATAAATTATATGAGATTGTAAAATAATAATTATATAAAATTTATAACAAAAATGTTAATAAATTAATTAATATTATTTTAAAGTAAACTAAATATTTAATTGGTAAGTAGTATCAATTTACAAATATAGTTTACAAATATACTCTAAATAATTTTTTAACTTGAAATTCAATTTTTAAATCTGTTACCAAACACATATTTGGAAACATATTTTCAGATTTCTGTTTTCCGATGCGAACCAAATATAATTTAAAAGTTTGGAAATATCATCTTCATCCACTATTTCAAATTTCGAATGGTCGTACTTTTTTTCATTTTTGGTTTGGCTTAATTTTCAAAATGCATCGAATTAATGGGACTCCTTTTAAGTTTTAACATTTACTAAACAAAGTGCACCAGATGTACTAAATTTTAACATTTAGTCACAAATAAAATACATGATAATATTTTAACCTATTTCACATTTAAATTTTGATTGAGAGTGAGAAAATTAAAGATTTTGTAAGAAATTAATTAAGATTCCATCTCTAACTCCACAAGGAGTTGTAATCTTCCACTTGCTCGAAAATATTGATAGAAGAACAACAATCTTCATTTGAGAAAGAAATAAGCTTATGATAAACTTCTTGCTGCACTACTTGGCTGCTCGTCGGAGTCTGCTGTTGCTGCATCTGAAAGTTCAATAGCTCTGCCCGCGCCGTGGCTAGCTGCATTTCCAGTCGGGACACTGCATTTTGGAGATGAGAGACTGCCCCGGCGCATCCGTATACTGGGTCTCGCATTCTCACACTCGCTTCGTATACCAAACTACTCACTGCATCTGCTCTTTAATCTTCTAGAAGCTTCTGTAGATTTGCAACTATAGCGGTTAAATTATAAATTTATTCTCAACTTAACGGTTCGTTTGATGATGGTTTATATTTTTTGTTTTTAAAAAACAGAAAATCCAATATGTTTGGTAAATATTTTTAGTTTTATGTTTTTAAAAAGTTAGAAAATTAAATATATAAATTAGAGAAAGAAATTTTCATGTAGTGTAGAGATGACAATGATATGTTCCATTCTTGTGCTTGTAAAAATTTTTAGCCGCTCATTTCCACCTCATTCTTCGGTCCGATAATCAAGATCTAGGTTAAAGAGTTCTTATTTATGGACGGGGATATTCACAGGAAAATGATCGATTTTATAATTAATTTGAATTATTTAAAAAATAAAAGTGTACTAAATATTAAATAATTAGTTAAAAAATATTTAATATTTTATTCACAATTTAATAAATAAATCGATAAAATATATATTAATTATTTGAAAAATAGAATCGGGCACCTACCGTCATTTTTATTCTCTGATCTCTGATAGAGAGACATGAAAGCATAATTTCAGAAATAGAAATAAATTTTTGAAATAGAAGATTCAGAAAAATTTTAATTAGTGAAATAAAAGAGACAAAAAAGGAAAATAGTAAAATTGAGAAGAAAAGATATATAAAAGAAAAAAATAGAGAGAAAAAGAAAAACCATAGCTAGAAAAAAAAAAGAAAAGATTAAAGACATGAGAGAGAGGGAGACCTGCAACATTTTGCTGACATTGCTGGCGCCGAAGATCTTATGAAGAATGGCGAATTTGTGGGGGTCGTCGGCCGGAAAATAAGGCGCGAATACGCAGTCCTTGCCGCACCGCCGCCGCAGCAATTTACACGACGCGCATGGCGAAACACCACCCATTTTTATCAACTAAACAAAATACGACCAGTAAACTAAAATTAATGACATACATATATATACACACACACACACACATTTGTATGAAATGTCCCACGTGGTTTTTATTTATTTTAAATTTAAAATACTACCAACTGATCTTAAACTAAAATTTCAAAATTCAGCTTCCTTGTGTACACACTGGACCTTCAGCCTCGGGGAAATCGAGGACTTAAGAATCGGAATATAATTACTCAGGTGTTTATCCATCCGCATCCGCACTCAGTTTTGTTAAATACGACTTACCACCACCAATTTTCTAAGTTTGGAAAATTGTATAAGATCACATCAATAGAAATTGTTGATGTAGAAATTTGGCGTTAAATTCGTACTAGACCTGCAAAATAGAAGAAAGACCGATATGATTCTTGCTACACATGTTCCAATGCTTAAGTCAAAATCGAAGTAGTCTGGGTATTTAGGTATAGCAAATAGTAATTCTATCGCTCTTCTCTCTTGAGGTGAGACTGGGACCTGAGACTCAGTAGGGGGAGTTCTGTGAGCGAGGAGAAGAGTTGGTAGCCGTTAAAAAGAAGAAATGAAATACCCTTTTAATCCAGTCCATTTAATGTCTTTTTCGAGAGCTCGAGGAAATATCTCACGTATACCAATTTTTAGGTATGAGAGGATTAATGTTAGATCCACAACGACAAATGATTTATTTACCCATTCAAATCAATTTACGTGAGGGACTGTCCTTGATGGAATTTATCATTTCTTGCGCGAGCAAGTATGATGGCGTATTTATGATAATTTAGATAAAATCGTAAGGCCGTTAGAATATCTTCTCCTTTCGAATATAGGATATATTCTCCGAATTCAGGTAAAATCTAAGATCGTCAAGATATCAAAAAATCATAATAAATGAAAAGGAAATAACAATGAAATGATTTAAACATATTACTTTGTACTCCAATACCATGTTAAATATTATTAAACCACCGATGAATTTTAAAGCTTAAGACTATATAAATTTAATTAATGTTCACGATAATTTAATAGGCCTTTTATTTTTTCAAAAGGACACAAATTGTTTTTTTTTTTTTTAATTATTTTTAAAGTTGGGGGATGTGAATTTTACAGCTGGAGGAAGGTTGTTAAAGGAAGGAATCCGAGTAAGATGATGGAGGGTAATACGGTAATTTAGGAGGACCTGGAAATCAATGGGCAATGAGCAAGTTTTGACCAGCGGAAGGGAAGCGTGTGAAGCATTTTTTATTTTTTATTTTTTTTTGGGGACCTTCCACGTTGGCACGTTCTTTTGTATTTATCCATGGAAATAAATAGAATGTTGTGTGACTTATGCTAAGTGACATTTTTCAAGCCATGACCCTAATTTTTATCATCTAATTGTGATATTTTTCAAGCCATAATCTTAATTCGTGTCCCATAATTGTGACATTTTTCAAGCCATAACCCTAATTTTTGTCCTTTAATCATGAGAAGGAAGAGAAAAAAGAAAAAATGGATCGATCAACTGGCAATGTATAGATCTCAGACCTCAGGTAAGAAACAACTCTCATAAATATTTTGTTATCTCGAGAGACGTAGGAGCGAAACAATCAACTTATTCCTTAATATTTGAAATAGTCAAAAGATTCTTTTTAGCCATTTGTATTTTTGAATTTTTTTTTGAATTTTTATCCTCAAAATCATATATTTAAGTTACAATTCACGGCTAGGTCAGAATTTTATTTTGATTTTAATAGGAAAAGTTAACAAATGGAGTACTTTACCGATAATTTAAAGGTTTTAGGATTAAATCGTAGGGTGTAATTAAAATCAAGGAAATTACAGTGGGTAGCAAAAATCTTTTATGTATTTCAAAATATGTCACATATTTTTAAAATTTTCAAATATAACACAAATTTTCACCTATATCAGTAGCATACAGTATATTAGATATATATTAGATACATATTGCAGAGACACTCATATCATTAGTATATCAGATGTATATCACATATATATTATAAGTATATCAAACATTCATATCAGTAGTATATCAAATGTGTATAAAACGTATATATATCGGTAGTCATATATACTACATATATATTACATATGTATATAATTTGAGTAAAGTTGTCGTTTTAATATTAAACCTCCATTTTTCTTTTTAAAAGCCTATATTTGAAAAAAAATTAAATGTGATTGTTATTTTACTAATTTTGTTAAATATTTTTAGACATATTTGCATATGTCCCTAAAATCAATCTCGTAGTTCCTCCACATTTTATATGATTTAGTAAAAACAAAAAGTATAGAGTGGAGAGACAACCAAATGTTATTGTGGAGAAATTCATACCAAGATGGAGCCCAAAAAGAAAAAAAAAATTGTGATGACACAAAATGTGGAACATGTGTTTAGATTGTTAAGATCAAATTATGAATAGTAAATTATTGAAATAATTGTGCATAACAACTCTCTTTATTTTCCTATTAAGTTGCTTCCACTTTGCTTCTTTTTTATTATTATTATTTTTTTATTTTTAGATGCTATAGTATTAAGAAAACCTCTTTAATTATTTTTCTTTCCTTTTCTACACAAAAATCCCATGTTAATCATGCTAAAAAACTCAGGCAGTTAAGATAAATTTTAATTTTTTAAATTTTGTTTCAGATAGACATAAATTGAAAAGTGTCAGTTGATTGGCACTTTGTAAACTTTTTCCACAATTAAATTGATTGAGAATTGAATTTCTTTTATCAAACAAATTTATTTTCTAAAAATAATTACCAAGGTCAAGACTAATTAATCCAAGAGAGAAGACTATCAAACCCACAGAAAATTTCAAATATTATTCCCTGTCAATATATTCAACTACGTCATCTACGGTTGAAAATAAGGCAATAGTTGTGTATAAGACGATAAATTGACAATCATAATATTAATTAGTTACATACACGTGAAATTTCTCTCTCGACAATTTTCAGAGTCACAAATTACTTCGCGTTTGGACAGATAACGTTTATTTTCATAATATTTCTACAATAATTTTACATTTAGAGATTCAACCGAAATGTTTTCATAATTTATAATCGAGGTAAGATTATATTCATATCTCCTATATAAGATACTTTGAGTAATGAAGTAACATTGAAAGCTTTGTAATTTTTTTAACAGTAAACTTGTGAGCTTGTAGTTGTAGCTTGGCGTGTTCTTTTTAAATGCTTATATATAATTAACGAGTCAAGAATGATAAAAAACAACTATTAATAAATATTAAATCTTAAACGCGGAACTGAATTTTCACTCTTATTTTATCGTGCTGCGATGATGTAACGTGTAGTAGTCAGTCCGACCTTGTATTAGTGATTGGGGGATAATAGCTCCTCACCTTCTAAAGTGCACTGCTCCTTTAGGCAAACAACATTAAATAATTCAAGTCAATCCATATGATTTTAAAAGTTCTTTTCCTTCTTGTAAACTCGATAAAGCAACTTTACTTATTCTCCTTGTAAATTCATGGAAAGATGAAATCTAGATTGCTTTCTTTAGAAACGAGATGTTGGGTTTGTAAGGTGATTGCAAACAAAGTCCCACGTTGACTAGGAAAGTAAATGATCATGGATATGTAAGAGAGGACAAACCAAAACCAAAGTCGTGAGGGCTATGTTCAAAACGGACAATAAAATACCATTGTGGAGATACGTGAGATTACTTGGGGTACCGTGATCATGAGAACAATGAGGTACACTCATATTTTAAATTAAAGGGAAAAAGAAAAGGAAAAATGGTGTAAAAAATGGGAATTTCATTGAAACTATGAAATGGAATAAAGAATGCCTAAAAAAATGGGAAGGAAAGAAGCATGTTTAGAAGATCGAAAATATTAATTTGGACCAAACATATTCTATTCTTTTTAGTACCATGTAATATAATTAAATGCATATATATTTTTTTTAATTTTCTTGAGTACAACATATTGGTGTGGAGATCGAATTCGCAATTTCTTAGTTGGATGAAAATATATGTCAATTACCGCTGATGCTCACTTTGACAATTCATATTTTTGTATTAAAATAACTGGTAAGATCTTGATTCGAACTCATAATTTTTTCAAAGTAATTTTTTCAAAGTATATGTCTCAAACCAGTTGAATTATGTTTAGATGAACAAATCAAATAGAACTTTTTATTTTGAGTTTCATAATTAAGGAGAGGAAAAAGAACCCCTCTTTTTTTTGTTTTTTAAAATTTAAAATAAAAAAAAAATCAATATTAGTAAAAGATTGGCTGACAGAAACTCGAATATTAAGTCTCAAATTTCAAACACCTTTATATATTGGCAAAAAGAAAAACCTTTAAAATGAAAACGGTGCAGCTTTGACTAACAATTCTCTTATATTTTATTAACCAAAAATAGTAAACAAGGAAACTGGGAGATGCAAGCTTTTGATACGCGCAGGCATCTGTAAGGATTCTGTTATTATTCTTATCCAAATCAGCAGAAATCCAGAAATTGAATTGTTTGAATTGAACAAACTGATATTTCAATTCCCACCAAATTCAATGTGAATGATCAGAACAAGATTTTCCCTGATCAAAGTTAGAGCAGAGAAATTTGAGGCAATGTAAGAACAAGAGTGAATGGTTTTTGTTAGCCAATAACAAACAATAGGGTTCATATGTTAGTGTCTCTAACCTCAAAACATGAAACAGAGTTAGATGAAAATGAATATGCTTACTTTTTCCGACTTGAACTGGAGAAAATTGGAGAAAGGAAGCATGCCAAGAAACCTGGAGATTTAGAGCCGTCTCAAGATAATGGCCGGTCGCAATATAACAAATCGAATCCAGCAAAACGGCACCTGTGGCTCCAACAGAGAACTCGAAATTGTGAGACAATGGACTGAGTATTCACATTGTTCTATTGGAGATTAATCAGTTGAGATACCCAGAAGATTGCTGATAATGAGATAGTCTTCAGAAGAAAGGAAGTATCGAGTGAATATGAATTGGAAGTTCGAATTTGAACTGGAAATCTGCAGTCGCTGTTTGATGGATCGACGGTCGTGATCAGGGCCAACCCTCCAAAGTTACAACTGTCTGCTCTTTGATCGTTCTGCTGATAGTAGCTATTGAATGCATAAGAAATGTTACCAGGCCAATCGATATGTGAGCAAGACGCACCGGGAACCAGCACTGTGCAGTCAGCAACAGAACATGCCTCTAAAACGCTGGCGCTTGCATTGGATAAATCTTTGTTGTTGTTGAGAACACACCACTTAGGGGAAAGGTAGTCAACATTTTGGGCATTCACAAGGTTCTTTGGGCCCTGACCAAAATTAAAGTGGTACTTGGCTTGACCATCAAAAGTAAACACTCCCCAGTGTCTCTCAAATGGCCCAGTGGATATATTTCTCTGATCTTCATCTAATAGGCCTAAGATGTAGGTCTCGAGTGGTGGACGCCGACGCCTAAGGGGGGTTCCCGATCTGCTACGGAGGTAATCCATCAGGCCTTTCATAAATGTTTCGGCTGTTGATGAGTTAGCAATGGCTGCTCCATCAGTAGGCCACCCAATCTGTGCCACAACAATATCCACCGTGGAAAACCCAATCTTTGATAACGCTGAAACTAAGGTATCATAGCTCATCTCAAAGCTGTTTCTGTAAGTTCTACGGCTATCGTTATGCGGATGTGCAGATTCCTTGAAGAGGCTAAAGTCGAGAGAAATGTTCTTGTTTTGATGGAGACTTAGAAATGGGGAAATGGTCGCAAAGAAAGGTGACCTATGTGTGGTTAGAAATGTCAGGAGCTGGATCATTGTTTTATTCAGTTCAGGTCTGAAGTGGCCTTTTGAAGGGAGACCGGATTCAGACTGGAATGCGTCGTGACTGCATGGAACTACTACTTTTATCCTGCTCTCCAAGTTTACTTTAACTATAGCTGCCTGAATGTTGGCGACTGCTCCCATGACATGAGGATAAAACTGGTCGGCATAACTTTGAAGAAACGGCTCATCACCAACTGCAATATACCTGAAAACATAATAGCAAGCAGCAGAAAGAAAATGAGTGGACATTCCTTTAGTTATTAAGAACTTTGGTGCTTCATAGAGACAGAGACAGAAACCATTGACTGATACAAGATTAATCACCAATCTAATGCCCAAATATATCCTACAATTTGTTAGTTCTAGCTTAGCTGAGTAGAACCGACCGAGTGAAACGCGATGATACTACTCGTACTGCTAAACATCAGAATGGTCAATAACATGTTAGCTCAATCAATCTAGCCAAATCATGCAATAGGTTGCTCTAACAATAATATCCTTCCAAAGTCAGAGAAAAACATTTAGCAGTTAGCACTCACAATGCCAATCAGAATTGTATTCTTACAATTTACGTTCCAAAAGTGGGAGAAAATGAGAAACGGTAGGTGTATTGGTATTCCTTGCTCCTAGCAAGCAAAGCACCCAAAAATGTCCTCTCAAATCACCATCTATTCACCATGTATCTGGATTTCGAATAAATTAGTTTGACAGAGGGATTTTTAAAAATGGTAATACAGTTTGCATACAGCCTCTTCCAGTTCCCGGCATCTCATTCGAAAAACGACGCGTTGAAGACGTTTTTAAATGCAGCTATGCACCCAACACAAGTAAAGAACAGAACTTTGAATATCTAGGATACCCTTTCTAAATTGAGGGTGCAATTTTATTTCCCAGTTCAGTATCTCTCTTACCGACTGGAACTGGAGTCGTAATACATTTTTTTCTTCCCAAAATGAAAACAGGCCATGATTATGAACTTAAACTACTCATAATTCATTGTTCTCCTAAGCTATCACCAATAATTACGGTTTGATATGAAGAATCGAAGTGTTGTTGCAGCCATGCGAGCTAATGTGCAATACGATACAAATAAATCCACTTCAAGCTACACATATGATTAGTAAATAGCGGCAGACCTACAACCTCTCAAAATAAATTGAAAAGAAGGAGCAGAATGAAACAGATGATGAAGAGCAAGAGAAGAAGTTAAAAACGTACTCGATTCGAACTCCGCCGCCGCCGCCGCCGCCTCCGCCACCGGATAAATAC